TGACAGAACAATTAATCAGGGGAACAACTTGCCTACAGAAGTTGTGAATGCCCCAACACTGCAAGTCTTTAAGAAGATGTTGGATAGCCATTTGTCTGGAACGGTATAGGGTTTCCTGCCTAGGCGGGGTTGGACTAGAAGACCTCCAAGGTCCCTTCCAACTCTGCTATTGTATTGTATTATTGTACTGCCATCGTTAAGATAATCCGTCTTTGCACGTGGGAAGCTGAGTGGGAAGATCGCATGATCTGCCATTGCAGAGTGGGACACTGCAACTGTTGGAAATACATGCCCATTGCCAAGCACCTGACTTTTGATTATGTGACCCCAGGGAATGCTGCATGGCTATAAGTGTGAGGACTGGTGGTAAGTCACTTTTTTTCAGCGCCACTGTAACTTTGAACGGTTGCTAAATGAATGGTTGTAAGGTTGAGGACTACCAAACTGTCAGGCCCCATAGATTCCTATAGGGAGGCTGTCATTCTGATGGGAGGGGGAGGCTTGGGGGGGGATTTCTGTATGGGGTTTCTGTTTCTCCTTCTTGCTTTGCTTTGCTGTAACTTTTGGGACCTTGGGAGGTGGGGAAAGGAATCTGCCTGGAGCAGTTGCCTTATCTCCTCTCTGGAGAAGAGCAGCAGCGTTGCCTTGGAGACCTGCGTTTATCACCTTCTCAGCCTGAGTTTCCCATAATATCTTCACACATTGGGATTGGTTTGGTGATGTTTTGGGTTTCAGGAGGGCCTCTATCTGCAATAGTTTAGTCTAACATTTTGTGCAGGAAAATTCCATTGCCAACATAATCTTCCAATAAAAGTTTCAAGACTTTTGCTTTCTTGAGAAGATTGGAGAGGACCTTACACAAACTCAAACATTCTGTTGGAATAACATTGCATTAAATATTTTTTTCTCCTTGGAATGTACTTAGGGGAGCTGAATTAAGCAATTTAAATATCCTTTGGATAGAAAGATGGGTTACCAAAGAATGGAATCATATGCAGTCATCTTCAAGAAATCTATGAAGCAGTGGTAGACACGCCACTTTTCTAATTCAGATATAGGCCTGAAAAACAGAGCAAAAATATTCATTGTGAGTTAGACACATACAAAAAATTATCTAGCCAAAACTGAATGACTAAAACTATCATATCTCCCATGTATAACCTATTTTATAAAATAATATTCTAATAAATTGGAAATGTTTTCAAAATCAGCGAAATACAGTATAACAATGCATAGCATAACTTTTTTTTATTATAACTATATAACACCATCGAAAGAAACAGCTTAACTGCACAATACTATTTTTTAACCTAGACATAAGCCCTTGATGAACCATGTACCTTTGGTTGCAACTTAAAATATTAAAATGATGCTCTATCTATAATGTGAAAATAATATTTTCTTGATAAAAAGTGCATCTGTTTTTGCCGAATACAGGTAGTTCTTGACTTACGACCACCACTGAACCAACTATTGCTTTTGTTAAGTGAGATATTTGTTAGGTGAATTTTGTCCCCCCTTTACAACTGTTCTTGCCACAGTTGTTAAATGAATCGTTGCAGTTGATAAATTGGTAATCCAGTTATTAAGTGAATGTGGCTTCCCTGTGACTTTGCTCGGCAGAAGGTGGCAAAAAGGGACCCCATGACCTTGAGACACAGTAATAGTAATAAGTATGAATCAGTTGTCAAGCATCTGAATTTTTATCACATGATCATGAGGATACTACAAAGGTAACTGTGAAAAATGGTCATGTCACTTTTTTCAATGTTGTTGTAACTGAACAGTCACTAAATGAACTGTTACAAGTTAAGAACGACCCATATATAAAATCCACACTGAGAATTTGTTGTCAGGATTATTTCAAGTTATTGGCAGTTTTATACTCCTTCATGCTGATAGCCAGCCCCACTTTTTATTGCTGATTTTTTGCTCCTAATCAAACATGTTCCTTGTTGATTGGAGGTTGAGGGTTGTAATATTTTGTACCCTGTTTTCACAACTAAATTAATATTCCTGTCAAAACAGAGGCGCTCTAAAACTTTTGCTACTTGGAAAGTATTTGCCAGCTGCCCATCAAATATGTTTTAAAGTAAATCGGATTTTATTTCCCATTGACAATCGTGCAGTAAAGGACATGGGTGCGTGTTTACCTAACAACCTCATATGCAGAAGCATAGATATGGGGGAAATTTGAATGGTCGCGCAAGCCCGCTCAACAGAGGCGCCCTGGTTCCTGTTTTCATGCTTAGGGAGGGACGAACGGAAAGGAGCGACTACAACTCCCAGAATTCCTAGGGACTTCATTTCCCAACATACCCCTCGCTCACAATGGCCTTGCCCTTTCTACGCGGGATGAGCGACCCGCGCTCTGTTTTTGGTGTATGGTCGTTACAGAAAGCTTCGCCTTTCGCAAAGCGTTCCCCACGTTGTCTTCGTCGCCATCAATACGCTGTGTATGAATCAACTTCCGGCTGAATCCTTTCCCACCCCCGTACCGCTCCGTCTCCCCCTCGCGTAGCTCGAATTCTCGCGAGATTTCCATGCCGAGGCCGGCGGGCGGACGGAGCAGTGGGAGGAGGGAGGGGGTTGGCCCTGGCGCTTGGTGGTGGCGGCCGCCATTTTGCCACGGCGGGTCGGGTCTGCCTCGGCGGGGCCTCGTTAGGGATTCACAGGCGAGTGGGAGGGGTGAGCGACGTGCCGAGCAATACCGGCGGGGCCACGCACAGGAAAAAGCCGACCGGGAGCTGCTTAGGAGCCACGGATGGCGGCAGATTCTATCCGACCGAGGCGGCGGCGCTGGGGCTGAGGTGGCGGCAGGAGGAG